AATAATCAAATATAATTTTTTTATTATTATTTTTATTATTATTTTTATTATTATTTTTATTATTTTTTTTATTATTTATTTTATTATTTTCAAATATTTTTCTTTACAATATGTACAAATCTTACAAATCAATTTTACCATAAATTGTTTAAAAGTTTTTATTAATATATTTTGTCTTACAATATATTTTTTAAATATATTTTTTATATATTAATCAAAATATATTTTTCAAACTATTTTTTTAATTAAGTTTTTATATATTTTTTTTATGTGTTTCTCACGAAATGCTTTATATTTTTGATATACTTTTTTTCTATTTTTAAAATTTTTTTTTATAATTTTTGAAATATTTTTTTTTTTAATTTTTTTAAATATTTTTTTATTATATATAAATATTTTATAACTATAAAAAATATTTTAAATATACTTTTTTTATATTTTTTTATATTTTTTTTTATATTTTTTTTATATTTTTTTTTTTATATATTTTTTAACAGGATTTTTAAATATTTTATTTTATGTTTTTTTAATTACTTTAATATATATTTTAATTAATTTGTTTTCATGTTTTTTTTAATAATTTGTTTTCATATTTTTTAATATTTTTGTATTTATATTTTTTTTTAAATTTTTAATTTTGTTTGAAATTTTTATTAAATTTTTTTTATATTTTTTTTATATTTTTTAATTTTGTTTGAAATTTTTATTAAATATTTTTTTTTTATTTATTATTTTACTTTATTATTATTAGTGTTTTATTTTTATACTATTTTTAATGTTTTTTCATTTTCATTTTAATATTATTTTTATTTAATTTTTACTTTATATTTATATTTTATTTAAATTTTATTTTTATTTCATTCTTATATTGTTTTTATTACTTTTTTTTGTGATATTTTTGCAAAAGTTTTTGTTATTCAGATTAAAAATTTTTTTGATACATTTATTTTACTAAACATTTGTTATTTCGTAAGTTTTGTTTTATATTTTAATTATTATTTTTTTATTTCAGTATTTTATTGTAATTTTTTTTTATTGAAAATAATTTTCAATAGCCAATTATATTAACATATTTCCGTTGACGAGAGTTATGAAAATGCTTAACAAAAATATATAAAGTTTCTAAATATTTAAAAACAATATTTAATTTTTCAGATATCAGATGTTTTTTAAAAAACTTGGTAAAATAATAAATTTTTGGCGATAAAATGGAAACTTTTCCAGGATTTAATAAATAAAAAAATAGAACAAAATTGTAATTATTTAAAATTATTTATAAAATTATTTAATAAATACTTTTAATTCGCAAGAAAATTGCTTTTAAATATTTTATTATATTTTCCATGAAAAAAAACCAATATATATGTATTAATATATTTATATAAGTTACGT